CTCTGGGTGCCTAATGTTTGTTTTGTTACATTTTTCTGTGGTCATCTGTATTGGGGTTGGGAGAATGTCTTGAATTTGTGATTCTGATGTATTTGCTTGACTTTGCCACATTGGTTAAACATCAAACTGGCGCTCAAAGTCCGCGAGCGGCGCCCGCCGCCTAACTGCTAGTGGGCTACATATATGGGAATGGATACTTTATATTGCAGCCTACATTTCCATTTGGTCGGGTAGGTGTTCAAAGATAGTGCCTACATCTGTATAAACTCCAATTGTCCATGTTGGCCCCAGAAATGATGCTTGCAGGACAGCTGTTTCACTTCAGCTGTTTCACTTCCAGTTGCCACAATTTAGACTGTGCCACTGTGGACAGATTGACTGCTGGTGTATCTGCTGCAATACCGCAAGCGCAACGCAGCGCAACGAAATATGGCCCAATTTGATTGCGCTGCGCAGTCAGCACAATAAGGCGCTACACAACCAGACCGCAATGGGGGTCTGAATTTTTTACTCACGGATGCGGAGCGGGTATAGGGCAATATTTTCGCAATATTGCCGAAATGTTGCGCTCTGCGCAATATACGCAATATTGCCCACAATACTCGCAATATTGCGGAAACCATACGCATCATTGCACTTAACATTTGTAACAAAAAGAGAAAACAATAAAATGAAATCATATAATTTGTTTATACTATTACCTTGTATTGTATGTAGAGAATAAAAAGAAATAAACACCAATATACTATTTTTTCTTTTTCGATACACTAGAAATATAATCTTGGAGAGCTTTGGCTGCTTCTGCGAAGTCACCCTCTGGTATCATTCCTTCTTTCAGCCATGCTTGAGACCCCACTAACCGCTCCATCGTCTTGGGTAGCATTGCACCACGAGACGGTGTGCAAACATCCGCCGCCGCCGAAAACGTTCGCTCACAAGCGCAAGAAGTTGCCGATACAGCCAGGTAATCACGAGCGAGTTGTGACATGATGGGAAAGTGATGCTGATGTTCCTGTAAAGAGCCCACATTAGTATAGTGCGATATGAATCAGTGAGAAATGGAATGAAAAAACAAACCTTCCACCAACCCAGGATGGTTTGGTCCTTTTTCATAGGAAACTTTCCTTGCAAGTAGTCCTCGAGCTCGGATGAGGATGCTTTGGTAGTACCCAAAGTTGAAGGTCCAAAGATGTCAAATGTGTCAGGCTCTTGCTCGGTAGGACTCAGACCAGTACCAGTTTTGTTGTCAGTATTCGGGGATGGATCATTCTCTTGAGATTCTTCTGTTTGATTGTTGAAGGCATTCTCAATCGACAAGCTTGCCGAAACTTCATGTTCGGGATAATGGAGGGAAAAGAACTTCCCTCTCAATCGAGGGTTAAGAATCGTGGCTAAGACTATACTCTCACACTCGACAGCTTCCTGTTGATACTTGCTGAGCCACTTGATCATCTCACTGATCGATTTGTCAATGCTCGCATAATCCTGTGATTCGTGTTGAATGGCTTCGAGCTCGGAAATAACCCGCTTGTATTCAACTAGGACTGTAGCACCGGTAGGTCCATTCCCCTCAACCCGAGCAGTTGCATCTACGAACGTCTAGAAAGCAAAACAAAACTTTAGCTTCATGTGTAAGTCGGACTAGTTAAGATCAATACCTTCAAAACCTTATTAACCAATTCAACTGTGTGCCATTCTGCAGGAGAAATGGTAACTCCCTTGAAAAAACAGGCCTTCCGGTCGGCTGCGAGCATTGAGTTGATAACCTAAAAGGCAAGATGTGGTCAGCGCTTATGGTTTATAATGATGTGATTATATGAAATTAAATTTGTACATACCTCATGGGCCTCACACGCCACCTTTTGACTCTGGTAGTGGCTATTCCACCGAGTCTTGCAAGGACGCATCAACATTCTACCTTCGTATCCCATACGAGCCGATCAAGCTTTAAAATCACTTCGCCTTGCTGCACTACTTGCAATTTGACCGCTCACAGTATCCACCTAGCACAAGGAACAGTATAGGAAACAAAAGGTTAGCTTGTATTATGGTACACTGAGAAGAATAGAAAGATGAAAGAGGGAGATCATTATGAAATATGTTACCTTGACAAGTGCAAGTGCAACGATATCATCTTTTTCACAAACAACCGGTTCTAAAATACCATCGTCTTCATCATCAACACCGTCAGGCTTTTCCGGTAAGCCGTCGCCTTCGTCTTCATCGGTTTCTGAATCGTCCATATCAATACCATCCTCACCATTGTTCACCTCGAGAGTCGGAATGGGCAGTGGAATGCCGTCTGGGATTGCCGGCTTTGAACTAGTAATCGTCTGACCAAGGATTCGAAGGCCATGCCCAACTGTGAGATTCAGTTTATGGGCATAGCATCGCACATGGTGTGCTGAACTGTCCCAACTAACAGGATCGTCCGCATTCATAAACATATCTTGAATTTCTTTGGCCATAGGACCATTATTCCCTCCACTGTCAGTTGTCTGACCTAACATGTAATGACAGAAATAAAAAGGAACAATTAGCAAAGATAAAAGTTAAAAAAATTGTAAACAGAAAAAAAAACCTATCTTCTTATGAAGACCGTGGCGGACCAAAAATCGACCAATGGGTCGAGCTAAGAGAGCCCCAAAATGTCTCCAAGCTACCATCTTGAGAGTCAAGTGAGTTGACTTATAATTCCAATCGTCATCTATGTAATTGGCTGATGCACCTATGAAGGCGTATTGGTTCCCTTTGGTGGTCCAGACGTCGTGTATCAAAAAAAACTTTCCTTTGTTTGTCTGAAGATCAAGAATTATAAACACATATTGATCAATAGACAATTAGTTCAAGATACGAAAGTAGAGTAAAAAGCAAAAACTTACTTTTATGGTATTGATGGCCTTTTCGTGCAAACCTGAATAGAGTATTACTGACTGCTGAGCTGCCCACGTTCTAGATCGAACAAGAGTACCTCGGTTGATAGAGTGAAAAGCAGCTCGAAGAGCTGGGTCTTCAAATCGGGCCCAAGGAAGGGCGTGTCGGACGACCCACATGACTAAGATCATGTTGAGGAGGTCGACGGTGAAGGTGGGACCGCTGACAAAAGATGTTAAGGTACCTTTCTCGGTTTTTTTGCTTACCTCTTGCTTTTCATGATAAGAAGGTGGAAGAGTCATTCCGTCACGGATGGCCTTATGTCGCATTTTACAAACAGGTCGTGTCGCACTACCGTCGCGATGGCCTCGTAAATTGAAATAAGAGGTCCCTGTCTTGTCACCTTTGAATGGCTTCTTGCAATATCGACATTTGTAAATACAATCCTAGAAGAAATTGATGATGTTAGTAAATCAGAGACCGAGATGATGTGAATTGAAACACTTACAATCGGCTCATGAAAATACTTGAGAAGGTGCTTCACATGGACACTCTGAGACTCGTTGTAGCCGGGTTTGTTGTTAGACGAGACAAATTCAATAGAAGACTCTTGATCAACGTCCACTCCATCTGGGATCTCGAATACCTGGTGACAGTAAAGGAAAGGGGTCATTAATCTCATAAAAAATAAATACGTGAATCGGTTCGAGAATATTTTAAAAGATGTGAAACACATACTTCAACATCAGTCCGCTTCAATGATTGGGGTGACCCAACAGAAGAAGGTGCTGAAGCTCCAACATTACATCGCTTGGATGAACGGGGTGTCCTGCTGAGTCTGGATGAAGCAGGTGAAGGTGACCTGACACGCTTACTGGTGGATGATCGATTCTACAAATACAAAACCAATCAAGAATCTATCTCATGCATGATAGAGCAATCTGGACCTATTGATAAGACTTACCTTTCCTTCTGGATTGGCCTTGGTCTTCTTAGACTTCGCCGTGGGAAGAGTTGAATCCTTGTGTTTTACAGCTGGTGGTCGAGGTGAAGCAAGTCGATTGGACATGGGACCAGGGCTTCCTTCAACAGGAGTTGACTGACGAGTGAGAGCGGTTCGAGAATCGTTGGGAGTGATCACAAAGCCAGGCTGGGAACGGGAAGGACTAGCTGGGCGAAGAGATCTAGTTGACGACCTCCCCGGGACTTGGAGGCTTTGGGAGGAGGTTTGCGAAACGACATTGGCAATAGCCATTCTAAATGTAAAAGAGATCAGGTAGTATAGTGATGAAGGTCAGTTCGAGTGCTTGCTATTTCTTTCGATGATCACAAAACTCTTACCTTACGATCTTCTCAGCAGTCGTTCGAATAAGGAAGCCGGACCCACAAGTGGGCCAGAGTTGAAGTTTTTTCCACTTCCAGGTGCCATGTTCTGGTGCTTGAAGGCCTGTCCAAACGCCACAGTCCATCTTGGGCCAGGTTGGTATATGTATCGTGGTGTATTGTGGCAATGGAGGGTGGTGGAGGGAGGTCATGACGACGACGATGAGGAACCTGGGTGAAGGGTTTCACTCCGCTATATTTCGGAAATAGCGGAGTGAAAACGCAGTTTCGTTGCGGGTTTCCGGGTACCGGGGATTTTGAAACCGGGTTGCGGTGCTCTGGCCCCGCAATATATAGCGGTGCTATTGCGGGGCCAAAAAACACTACGCAACCGCACTGCAAACACAAAAATTTGCGCAGCGCTTGCGGTATTGTCTGCTGTCTAGCTGAAGTTACTTTGAAAGTTTATTGAAAATACTTCAAAATTCACTTGAAATTGTTCTGAATTTTTATTGAAATCCTCTTGATGCAACTTTGCAACACCATCTTTTGCGCTATACAATCACACATAAAATATTGTGCATATAATTCGAGATTTGAAGGTATCAGAGGACAATTTTACAATCCTTTCTTTAGGCTGTTTTCTTTACAGCAAATCAGAAAGCTTCTTTGAGCATAACATTTCACTTTCCTCAATGCAAGATGCAACTTTACGCATCTTGTTTTTTACAATATCTGAAAGTGAGAAACATTCTGCGTACAATTCACCAACCCCTTATGAAAAGCTGTAGCGTAGGCTAGATTCATGATTTAGACATATCAGCTACACATCTGATACACTCTCCTTTCTTCATATCATCAAAACCTTTGTTTAAGGTATCTAAGGTACACTGGTGTGTTACACCATAGAGTTATGATCAGTTGATGTACCACAGTATGTTTTGAAAATAATGTCAAACAACGAGGAATTCAGACTGACGCGATGGGTCACATAATCATCTACATTGAGAACTCCTTTCAAGTAATCGTCGACAATGCCTGGAATCCTTTTGACCGAGAAAAATCATTTTAGCACGCTTACCAAATCAGAGAAAGGAATAGATGAGCCAAAAGGGAGAACAATTTACTCTGTGCGGCCTTTGACTCCACCAAACGCACTACCTTGCCATCTCCTTCCAGTGACCAATTGAAATGGTCTCGTGGCAATTTCTTTACCTGCAGCCGCCACACCAATGATTGTACTGACACCCCAGCCTAACTCGTTTCATCATCAGCCTTGATCAATAGCAGGTCAATAAATCAAGTCATCGAATACCTTTATGACAAATTTCTAATGCATCTCGCATAACGTTCACATTACCAGTACAGTCGCTGTTCAGGAAACCATAAATTGACCACACTTGTGAGCTGGTGAAATAGAAAAGGAAAAGACAGATTGACTCAACAATGTGTAATCAAATCCTCCGTCACTAAATTCCGTGGTTAAGACTTGCTTTAGATCTTTTCCAGCAGCAACTTCCTTAGGGTTAAAAAAATCAGTAGCCCCCATCTTCATAGCCCACTCCTTTTTGCCATTATTGACATCGATTGCCACAATTTTGCTACATTTGCGAGCAGCACAGCCTTGGACAACAGCAAGCCCCACACAACCGATACCAAAGACTGCAACAGTAGATCCTTCAGTGACATTGGCTGTCTTTGTCGCTGCTCCGAAACCTGTAGTGATACCACAGCCTAGCAAGCATACTTTGTCCAAGGGTGCTTTGTCCTACGTGGTCATCGGTTTGATTAACTGTCCCTTCTGTCTAATTGTGGCATCGGATATCAACAAAGAATGAAAATATGTCACTTACAACAACCTTCACGACACTGAATTTAGAAACCACTGTATATTGACTGAATGTACTACAGCCCATATAATGTTTGATTGGCTTGCCACCACATTTGAAACGAACCGTGCCATCTGGCATTACCCCCTTCCCCTGAGTCTCTCTGACGCTTCCGCAAAGCTTAGATCATAAAATGATGTGATGGAATCGAAACAAGACAAAAATCATCAATGTTTCAGCAGCAAGAAGAAAGACAAATGAAATGAGCATTGAAAACTGACATTCGTCTTGCCAGATTTACAAAATTTGCCTATCTTTTCAATCGTGAATTGGATGCTAGGTGAGCAACAAGGTGATACGTGTCGTACGAAATGCAGCACTGACATTCTCTACATTCTGCAGTGTAAAGCGGAATAACATGCTGAGTAATCCCCCGCGAAAAACAAATTAGTACCACTTTCGAAGATAGTGTTATCATTGAGAATCAATCCGACAGTTTGGACCTACATCACCCTCCTTCACCTCGGTTACTCCTTCACCTACGCTTTCAACGATACCGCCTCCCTCGTGACCAAGGATGACTGGAAAGTCGCCTTCGGGATCGTCACCAGAGAGCGTGTATGCATCCTATGGCGAAATTAAAACAGAATCAACTTGTGACTTTCTTCCTTTCTTTGGATATGTTCTTCACTGCTAATACTTCATAGCAGAAAACAAAAGAGAGAACCCAAAAAACATGAAAGTTTAGACTGACTGTGTGACAAAGACCAGTGAATAGGATCTATCAAGGTTTCACAAAATCGATTGAGATCAGCAAAGGATATATCAAGTGAAGAAGAACGATAGTTTTTACAAGTTATTGACTCAACTTTAATTCGAACTTCATTCGCCTTTGGTGGCTCGACCTCAATTTCTTCCACCGATAAAGGTTTTCCAGCTTCCCATGCAATCGCTGCCTTGCATTTGATAATCTATTTTAAGATGTGAAAGATACAGGATGTGAGCTGATTGATAACAAGAGATATGAATGAGATTGTTGACCTAACTTGATTCGCAGTGGAAGACATCTTGGTGTTTCAGAAGAAAAGTGTGGTGAATGTCAAATGATATGAACTGGCTCGAGTTTTGAAGTTACAAAATGGGAAATCAAGAAATCAAACTTCGATCGGAAAAGATTGACGTCACTTGAGCCGTGCTGCCGGGAATATGAAACTCAAAATTCAATCACAACTTCAAAAGCACTCAAGGAGGAGATATACACCATGCTCAGCCAAACACTCTACACAAGTGATATCCAAGTTATGGCCATCATATGAGTTGAGGTTCTTCAAGATTCTTCAGATAGTCTCACTCTCCGGTAGCCATGAAGGTCACTAGAGTCTAGATCACATGAACTTCATCTTTTTTCTTTTGGAATAGAAAAACTGTAGTCTAGATTGACAAGGAAATCACACATCATTTCAGACATCCATTTAGCAGTACATCCAATCGAGGGCAAATACCCAAAGCCAAGGTGGAAGTTTTGTTTGTCTAGTCTGGTCGGATCCAGCTTGAAGATAACACGTTCAGGGATGAAATCGAAAACATATAGAAGAAAATTACTGATACAATTCTAAAGGTGACCTATAAGGCCCAAGGAATACAAGCCAACGAGTTATTTTAATCCTGCAAAGCTTTCACTTTAAAATTCGAGAAAAAGACAAGTCTATCTAGACAAGTGCATAGGTTTATTCGAGGATGATTGTACAAAGAAAGTGAAGAGCAAAAGAAATCAAGCAAGAGCAGGTCGAGCGGTAGGTGTAATCCGTTCAGTCTTTACAGCACCGAGCATGCTATCTATGGTAGCCTTAACCATCCCAATTCCCATTCCAGGTCGCTCTCCTCGTGGACCACTCTGTTGCACCTTAAGAGTAGGTAAGAAAGAGCTAGGTGAAGGTGCGATTATCACAATATCACCTTCTTTGCCTTCAACCTCTTCCTCTTCCTCTTCATCTTCATTTTCAGCATCTTCATTGTCACCGACACTTAAGAAACGCAACCGTTGACAAAGGTCTTCCGCTAAACTTGCTGTGTTGGGTGCATCTTCCTCAATTTGTTCCCATCCTACTGGTGGTGATCCAGGAGGCGATATTAAAAAGTTTTTATCGGAGACTGGTGGCTTGAGTTTACAATCATCTGACAAAGTCGAATTTTCCTGTGAGCCATCGGGATTGGGATAGATTGTAATGGGGGCAGATGGAGTGGTAGGAGTCGATGGGCCGAAATAAACCCGGAAAATCGTTCTACACGATAAAAAATAGATTGGGTTAGTTGATGAGTTTCTAACTTTGATTCTAACAAGATAGAACAAAATACTTGGGTAAATTTTTAACAAGCTCTTCAAGCTCCTTTTCCGAAGCCGTCTGCGGATCAACCTCTTCCGCCGCTCTACGCACACCAGGTTCTTCTTCGGTAAGTCGAGCTATCCCTCCGCCCGCTTCTATTACAAATCGATCCATCTCACGTTTTGCTCGACGGGCAGAGTTAGACCCATCATCAGACGATGAACTGCCGTGATAGACCACCAAGATACGACCGAGACTAGCTAAAGAGATCCAAGCAGCTAAAGGTCCATAACTAGCAAAATGTGCACGCAAGCTCGTTTGAAAAGATGGATGATAAAAAGCTGATGGTAAAGAAGTGATAATGAGGGTATTGGTAGCCAGTGATGTTGTTTTCAATCGTTCGAATGGTTGAGCGGTTACGCTTTGAGACGCTTCGGAAATTGAGATTGCCATGTCGATGTCGATGAGGAATGAAAGTGGTGGAACGCTGAAAATTCTTATTGGGTGTTGGTGTTTGCTCACATCTAGGGCTATGACCCGGCCCTGCCACCGACCGCACGAGCCTGCCCGATGACTTCTTGGAGGCAAGCGGTACACACCCCGGGTCATCTAAGGTCGCCCTACGGAGTACCAGGAGCCCCGTCGAGGGCCCGGGCCCTCAGGGCGCCGGCCCTGGCGTTTTCGGTCCTATCCCTCCAATACAGGCCCTGGTCTGCTTGAAGATGCAGCCGGCCCTTTCCAGGGCCGGGCGGTGCCCCGGGGCCGGGTCATAGCCCTACTCGCATCCCTCAACATCAGAAACAAAGCAAAGGTAAGGTGGTCCGTGCCCGACGTGGATACGGGCGGATTCTAGGAAGCCAGAGGAAGCCACATCCAGCCGGATTTCTTGTGACCAACTTTTTTTTAATGCATTGTTTTAAGTGCTTCCTGAGCCGTAGGCTATCAGGCACTAAGAGTCCGTTTGGTTGCCTCCGACCTCGCAGGTTGACCCAGCCAAAACCTCAGGCGTACGCTTCGAGGCAGTTTGAAGCGTACGCTTGAAGTTCTGCTGTTCGGTACAGAAGCCGCGGTCGACCTTTGAGGCGTCTACCTCGAGGTCGGCCAGCCAAATTTGTCGACCTGCCAGGTTCGACGTTTTGGTCAAATCTCGCAGGTTGACCTGGCTAGTCCCATAGACTTGAAACCACGAGTATGTACATGGCGAAAAAATCGCACTGAAAAACTTGAAAAGTATCATTAATAAGTGCCTTTTGGTTCAACTCGATATGCCTCCTAAAACAACGAAGAATCCCCCCAAGTTGAAGGCAAAGTGGACCGAAGAGAACGAGGAAGCCATGATTGACTTCTTGCTTGCCGAGAAGCAGGCCGGACGGATGGCCGAGTCAGGTTGGAAGAATGCAACTTGGATTGCATGTGCAGAGATGCTTGAAGGCAGCGAGCCACGTGGGAGTCCTGTAAAGAACGATGAACATTGTGAATGGCTGAGATGACGGTGAACCTAACAAAACAGTGCTCTGCGTTTAGCACTCCTCTCCAACACGCAGGTATGCAGACCTGGGGAAACTAACCTAACAAAACAGTGCTCCACGTTTAGCACTCCTCTCCAACACGCAGGTATGCAGACCTGGGGAAACTAACCTAAGTTTTATGGAGGAAAGGTTAAAGGAAAAGTGAGAAGTTAAATAAGCTTATAAAGCTTGTAAAGAAGTTGATCTATCGGAGTTCTCTTTCCAACAGATAAGAATTGTATTTCTAACTAACCTAACAAAACAGTGCTCTACGTTTAGCACTCCTCTCCAACACGCAGGTATGCAGACCTGGGGAAACTAACCTAAAACGAGATAAGAAAAGAAAGTAGGAAGTGAACAACTTGATCAAGAAGAAACAACAGTCTGATGAAAGTATTGTACCTAAGTTTTATGGAGGAAAGGTTAAAGGAAAAGTGAGAAGTTAAATAAGCTTATAAAGCTCGTAAAGAAGTTGATCTATCGGAGTCTAACACAACAATTGTTAGCAAAATATGCTACTACATAAAAGAAGGTGAGGTACTTACTCTCTTTCCAACAGATAAGGAAAAGAGAGTAAGACGAGAGGGAAACACATATATATCTTTGAAGCGACTGTTACAAAATCTATTGGGGTTGTTGAACTATAACGTCCAATCGGAAAGATGTGCAACAGATTGATACGCGTGACTCTAGTCTCAGACAGCACTATGAAAAGAAACCTTCACGACATTCTATAACCTACATTCGACCATCAATCAGACCTATCTGTCTTGATTGTCTTTCAACACACCCCCTCAATCAAGACACGCTAAAGACACCTCTTGACTCCTATACCTTTTATATGACTCCAAAATGGCCCAGGATGTAATGGCTTCGTTAATAAATCAGCAGTCGTATCTTCAGATTTGCAATAGGATAAAGTGATTCTATTCTGCTTAATTTGTTCGCGTATCCAGTGATGCTCGATGTCTATATGCTTTGTTCGACCATGATTTACTGCATTTGACGACAGGTCGATGGCTCCTAGATTATCACAATTGATACTAACTGGACCATCCCATTCAAAACCTACATCCCTGAGTAATGTTCGCAACCACTGTACCTCTTGACCCGCTTCAGTTGTTGCCCGATATTCCGCCTCCGTGGATGATAACGCCACTGTCTGCTGCAACGGTGAGCGCCAAGAGATAGCGCCACCAAAAAGTGTCGTGATGTAGCCAGTAGTTGACCGTCTTGAACTTTTGCATCCGGCCCAATCAGAGTCCACATTTGTTACTGGCACGCTCCAGCTAGATTGCATTCGAAAAAGGCGGTTGTCCTCGATGTGATAGTGGATGCCAAGATTTAGCGTACCTTGCAAGTATTTTAGGACATGACGGAAGGCGTCCCAGTGACGCTGACAAGGAGTATCAAGGTGCTGCGACAGTACGCCCACGGCATAAGAGATGTCTGGCCTGGTACATTGAGAGATATACATTAGGCTACCAACACCGGACCGATAAGGGAGATTCAATTTTGCGAATTCAGCAGCCTCCTCTTCAGTAGATTTGAGTAACTTCAGACCTCCTTGAACTGGCGTTGATGCCGGTTTACAATCAGCTAAATTGAAACGCACTAAGAGAGCTTCGGACATTGAGCGCTGATGAATGGCATAATGGTGAGTTGATAGCTTCATAGTTTCAATCCCAACAACACACGTAGCTAAGCCTAAATCCTCCATTTCCCAGAAAGACATAACCTCCTTCTTGAAGACGGGAATAAAATCTTGAGTGCCTGTAATCGCCATATCGTCGACGTGCAAGTAGAAAATAATAATATCTAAGCTGGATCTTCTTCTGATGTACACGCATTCATCACCTTCTGCTTGTTTGAAACCGGCTTTGATTAACTTTTGACGAAACTCCTCATTCCACTCGTGGGCGGACTGCTTCAATCCGTAAAGGGCTTGCAATAATAGACAGACTTTTCCTTCTTCACCAGGTTTAACAAATCCCTCTGGCTGCTCCATATAAACTTTTTCTTTAAGGTGAGAGTTTAGGAAGGCCGCCACGGCATCCATGGAATGAATGTCCCATCCAAAAAATGCTGCAATAGCTACCAAGATACGGTAAGAAGCAGGTTTGCCAGTCGGCGCGTAAGTCTGATCGTAATCAACGCCGAAGGTTTGGGTAAAGCCCTTCGCAACAATTCGTGCTTTATGTTTGCGAATCGAGCCGTCAGGTTGGTGTTTAATTTTGAAATGCCAACGTGAACCTACCACCGGTGCATCCAGTGGTCGGTCTACAAGCATCCAAACCCCCTTCCTCGACATGTTATCCATTTCTTTTGCACATGACTTCACCCATTCATCACGACTAGCACTCTTCATTGCTTGTTTGTAGCTACCAGGCTCGGATAATAGCCTAACGGTGGACTCCACTGCAAAAGCGTAAGCGCAGATGTCGCCCACAGGTACAAAGCAATCGTCCTCCCAAAAAGCCATGCTCGTTGAAGTTGAATGAGGCACGTATCTATCAACAGGCCTAATTTCACGAGTCGTACGGCGAGGAAGAGCAGGTGGTGGAGGTGGTGCGATAACAGGTAAATCGGGTAAATCTGGGACGACCTGATTGTATTCAATGATCACTTCCTGTTCATCACCGTCGTCATTCAGAGCGTTTTCAATTAGAGATGTTGGCTTAACGACGAGGGGTAATTCATGAACGTCCTCTCCGTCAGCTGTGAATATGTCAAACGCCGGTAAACGAGAAAATGGATAAATATCCTCCCGGAAAGACGCATCATGGGTGATAGTGATTTTGGAGTTATGGAGCATGAAGACGCGGTAGTTGCGGTTGTGCTCCGTATGACCGACGAGTATGCCGTGTTCTGATGTTGGTCCATACTTGCCTTCTCGCTCAGGTTTGCGGATAAGGACATAAGTTAAACATCCAAACGCTTTGATATGAGATACGTCGGGCTTCCTTCCATACCACAGTTCAAACGGGGTCTTGTTCTTAGGAAGGGTAGTGGTGGTGGTTCGATTATTCAGAAAAACTGCACTTTTTACTGATTCCATCCAGAAACGTATCGGCAAATTAGCCTCAGTCAGCATGGATCTACCCTTCAAGACTATTGTTCTCATGGAACGCTCTGCCACCCCATTTTCCTCAGGTGTATAAGCGGCCGTGACTCACAGGTAGATACCGTTTTGTTGACAAAATGGCAGAAGGACATCATTGAGAAATTTGCCTCCACCGTCAAGAGTAAGCCGTTTGATTTTTCTATCACATTGGCGTTCAACAAGGGAAATGTACGTGTGAATAGCGCTATGGACCTCCTCCTTTTCCTTTGACTTTAGACCAGTTATATGACAATAAGATGTATGATCATCGGTGAAAAGAATAAAGTAAAGACTTCTGCATAAAGCCGGAGTTCTCATAATACCACTCAAATCAATATGGATGTTGTCTAATGGGTGCATGGATCTGGTACGAGTCTGAGAATGAGGTTGTCAATGTGCTTTAGAAAGGTCACATGAATTGCATGGTAATGAAATAGGCAGAACAATTTTAGATAGAGCCAAAGGAATTCCCAGCACTACATCCCCCTTGATCATTTGTTTTAAATATCTGAAGTTTGGATGACCTAGTTTATGATGCAATAGTTGGAGGTTTTCAGTAATGTTGTCTGTAGCTGACGATGTGTTCGGAGTAGAATCAGATGAGATAGTACGCACCGCGTTGAGCTGCAGTAACATCGAAATTGGGTGGATTCTTCCGGTGAAAGCTGTAACGTCATTTCGTTGAATTATAAACGATCCATCCTCTCTACGCGTGGTGATCCATCCTTTGTAAAAGAGTCTTCCACCAGCAATTAAATTTTGCTTGAGAGAAGGAACGAAAAGACATTCTGTGAGAGTAATTGCGTCACCGGTAGGTCCAATGATAGTAACATCGCCTCTTC